GGGCCGTGGCGGTGCAGTCCCCTCACGGTGTGTTTCTCTTGCAGCGGCCAAGCACAAGCAGATTCGTCGCGGTGTGAAGGAGGTCCAGAAGTTCATCAACAAGGGCGAGAAGGGGTAAGCACTGCCCCGGCCCTGCTGCCCCGGCCCGGCCTGGCCCCGCTGCTGACACGGGCTTTCCCCTGCAGGATCACGGTGCTGGCCGGCGACACGCTGCCTATCGATGTGTACTGCCACATCCCCATCATGTGCGAGGACAGGAGCCTCCCCTACGCATACGTCCCTTCCAAATCGGTAAGGAGCTGGGGCTGTGCAGCTGGGAGGAAGCAGCCCCAGCGAGAGGGAGGCCAGTGAGCAGCACCCAGCTGCAACAGGAGCCTTCCCAGGGAGGCATAGATCTGGTGCCCGAGTAAGGCACTCGGTGCTTGTCCATGACCAGAGCATGAGAGGGATGGTGCAGATGTAGGAGTGTTTCACTAGCCCTTTGCCCTAGTCGGGTCCCTGCAGCAAGGGGGATGCATTTCCCCCACTTAGTTCTGAGCTAGGATCTGGCTGCTTGCAGAAGTGAGGCACTGGCCAAGGTGTGGTGTGTTGGTGGGGCATCTTCCCCTTTGTACACTGGAAGTTTAGGGGGGGGTCAGTGACTTTGGGACTTCACCTCTGATGCAGGCAGCTCTGCAGACCCTGGCTCCCCACCCTGGGGAAGGAGTACAGTGCATGGGGCAGGTGCCAGCCCAGCGATTCGCTTCTGGGATGTGGGAGAGAAGCTGGGAAAAGGGTTCTTAAACCCAGCATGAGTCTAGAGGGCTTGGGCAGCTGGCAGAGACATCTTCCCTGTGCTAGACCAGGGTATGAAGTGTGTTGGATGGGTGTCAGGCCTCCCCACTCGGAGGGGACCCAGCACCCCCCAGCCTCCCCATGGCATCGCTCTGCTTCCGCAGGACCTGGGAGCCGCAGCCGGCTCGAAGCGCCCAACCTGCGTTATCATGATCAAGCCCCACGAGGAGTACCAGGAGACCTACGATGAGTGCTTGGAGGAGGTGGGGGCCCTGCCCCTGCCACTGTGAAGAGCTGGGGACGGGCTGTGCCCCGCAGGGCGGTGGCGGGTCCTCGTCCCCCTGCTTGTGGGGCCATGTCCCCGTGTTTGTGGGCATGTTGCACTGACGGGGGGGTGTGAGCTCTGTGGGGGTGAATAAAGGTGTCTGCGGGATTTGTAGGATGCGGTCCCGGCGCTCCAAACTGGGGAAAGACTGTGCGGGGACGCGGGGCAGCAGCCACGGTCCG